GACAAGCAGGACAGGACACTGTTGATGCCACTCAGGCCAAAGTGGGGCAGGATCTGGTTAGTACAACAGAAGGCACCAGGCCCAAAGCAAGGCAGGAGTTGGCCCCCAGTGTGGTGGTCCCAGCAGGTGATACCTGGAGTAACCAGAACCTGGGAGAGCCTGGTCCTGAAGGTGCCATGAAGAGCACACATTCTCCAGCAGAACTGGATGCAGATGATACCAAATGGACAACACGTTCTTCAGCAGATTTTGGTCTAGATGATAGGCTGAGGAGCACACATCCCGCAGCAGAACCAGGTCCTGAAGGTACCATGCAGAGAACACATCCTCCAGCAGAACGAAGTCCTGAAGGTACCATGAGTAGTACACGTCCTGCAGCAGAACCAGATCTAGAAGGTACTACAGTGAGCACGTATCCTGCAGCAGAACCAAGTCCTGAAGGTAACATGAGTAGTAAATGTCCTTCAGTGGAACTGGTTCCAGGTGGTACCGCATGGAGCACACGTCCTGCAGCAGAACCAGGTTCAGAAGGTACCATGAGGAGCACACGTCCTGCAGCAGAACTGGGTCCAGATGGTACCATGTGGAGCACCGATCCTGCAGCAGAATCAGGTCCAGAAGGTACCATGAGGAGCACACGTCCTCCAGTGGAACTAGTTCCAGACGGTACCATGTGGAGAACACGTCTTTCAGTGGAACCAGATTCAGATGGTACCACATGGAGCACAAGTCCTGCAGCAGAACTAGGTCCAGACGGTACCATGTGGAGCACCAGTCCTGCAGCAGAACTAGGTCCAGACAGTACCATGTGGAGCACCAATCCTGCAGCAGAACCAGGTCCAGAAGGTACCATGAGGAGCACACGTCCTCCAGTGGAACTAGTTCCAGATGGTACCATGTGGAGCACACATCCTTCAGTGGAACCAGATTCAGAAGGTACCACAAGGAACACACGTCCTGCAACAGAACCAGGTCCAGAAGGTACCACGAGGAGCGCACATCCTACAACAGAACCAGGTCCTGAAGGTACCATGAGGAGCACACATCCTGCAGTGAAACTGGATCCAGATGGTATGATGCGGAGCACACATTCTTCAGCACAAATGGGTCTGGATGATACCATGTGGGGTGCACATCCCACAACAGAACCTGGTCCCAGTGGTGCCACACTGTATGCACGTCCTTCAGGAGAACTGGATGCAGATGGTACCACATGGAGCACAAGTTCTTTAGCAGATTTTGATCTAGAGGATACCCTGAGCAGCACACGTCCTGCAGCAGAACCAGGTCCAGCTGGTATCATGATGAGCACACGTTCTGCAGCAGAACTGGGTCCAGATGGTACCATGAGGAGCACACATTCTCCAGCAGAACCAAATCCAGATGTTACCACATGGAGCACACATCCTGAAGCTAAACCTGGTCCAGAAGCTACCATGAGGAGCACATGCCCTCCAGCACATTTAGATTCAGGTGGTACTAAGCAAGGAATTTATTGGAAGAAATGTTTGGGAAAAGGATGAAAAGTTGGAGGCCTGGGATGGGTGGAAAGACAGTAGGGAGTTGGCTTAGATAGACCAAGAGGGGAAGGGGCAACTGAATGGACAGAAAGGTGGAGGGAGGGAAGGACAGAAAGTCAGGAGAAATGGTAGGTGGATTGCTGGATGGATGGCAAGGAAGGATTTGTGGGAGACTGGATGCAGGGATGGTAAGGAAAGAGGAATGGATGGGTGGGTGGGTGGACAGACGGATGAATGGATGGATGGGTGGATGGATGGATGAATGGATGGATGGATGCATGGATGCATGGATGCATGGATGGGATGATGGATGGGTTAGTGGGTCAGTGGATGGTTGGATTCGTGGATGGATGGATGGATGCATGCATGGATGGATGCATGGATGGATGCATGGATGCATGGATGGATGCATGGATGCATGGATGGATGGGTTAGTGGGTCAGTGGATGGATGGATGGATGGATGGATGGATGGATGGATGGATGGATGCATGGATGCATGGATGGATGGATGCATGGATGCATGGATGGATGGATGGATGGATGGATGCATGGATGGATGGATGCATGGATGCATGGATGCATGGATGCATGGATGGATGGATGGATGGATGGCTGCGTGGATGCATGGATGGATGGATGGATGGATGGCTGCGTGGATGCATGGATGGATGGATGGATGGATGGGGTGTGTGGATGGATGGATGGACGGATGGATGCGTGGATGGATGGATGGATGGGGTGTGTGGATGGATGGATGGATGCATGGATGGATGGATGGATGGGGTGTGTGGATGGACGGATGGGGTGTTCTTCACCCAGAACTCAGGGTGAGGGGGCCTGGAGATGGCGGTGCAGGGGCCTCACAGACCTCTGTGTCCCTTCCCTCCCCAGGTTTAGACCCAGACCCAAGCCCTGCTGGGGTCTCTTCTTCCCCCACAGAGCCCTCGTCACCCCCTCCATCGCAGAACCCCACCCTGATGCCAGCAGCCCCTCCTGTCCTTGCAGTCCAACTGGGTCTGGGCTCCAGCATCCCCTCCCAGCGCCCTCCAGAGCTCCCAAGCACCCAGAGCCCCCCAGGATCCACCCAGTGGTCCAAGGAGAACCTCAGTGCACAGACCCTCCCAGCACCCATTCAGCAACCCATGGAGACATTAAGCACCCATAAGCCCCCAACACATCTCCTGCAAGCCATGGAGACTCCCAGCACCCAGATATCTCCAGCTCTCCCTCAGCATCCCATGGAGACCCTCAGCACCCAGACCCCCCCAGCACCCCCTCAGCACCCTACAGAGAGCCTCAGTGCCCAGATTCCTCCAGCACCCAAGCAGCATCCCATGGAACTTGCAAGCATGCAGACCCCCCCAGCACCCCCCCAGCACCTACTGGAGACCCCCAGCTCCCAGACAGACTCAGCACTCTCTCAGAACCTCATGGAGACTCTCAACACCTCGACCTCCCCAGAATCCTCCCAGAACCTCATGGAGATCCTCAGCATGCAGATGCCCCCAACACCCTCCTCGCAACCTATAGACACCCTCAGCACCCAGGGTGCCCCAACACCTCAGGAACACCTCATGTTGCACATAGGCACCCAGACCCGCCTTGCACCTCCTCAGTACCCCACAGAGACCCTTGTCACCCAGATGCCCACAGCTCACCCCCAGGACCACTTGGAAACTCTCAGCACCCAGACCCCTTCAGCACCACCCAAGCACCCCATGGAGCCCCTCAGCATCCAGACTCCTCCAGCACCCCCCCAGCAACCCATGGAGCCCCTCAGCACCCAGACCCGCCCAGCATCCTCTCAGCCCCCTGTGGAGCCCCTCAGCACCCAGACCTCTCCAGCATCTCCCCAGCACCCCATGGAGTCCCTCAGCACCCAGAAACCCCCAGCACATTCCCAGCACCCTACGGAGCACCCTATGGAGCCCCTCAACACCCAGAACCCCCCACCACCCCCCCACCCACACACACACCAACCACCGG